GCAATAGCGCTCCATAGGGAACGCCCAGTATGTCCATATCGGTCCGCAGAAGAGGATGCAATCAGCGATATGGAGAAGCGCGTGGATCGTGAGAGGGCAGGTGGAGATGCGCGCTGGATCGTACTGGTAATAGAGCCTGTAAGAAGTTGAGTTGCTGAGTATGGAAGGTCATATTTGCACATACTCTTCGTACTTCTTGACCCATGCAATGAAGCCCGAGCGGATCTCCTCGACCTCTTGAAGCGTGATTTCGAACTGCAGGCAGAGGTGTAACAGGCGAACAAGTTCGATAAAGTGCCAGTAGTACTCCTCGTTTCGAAACTTGCGGTTGAGAAGTACCGGGCCGAGATAGAGCGCCCAGAAAGACCAAGTATCGGCAGTCATAGACTGTTTGTCCGTTCGAAAGTTGGGTGGCCGAGCACCGTAGCAGCCGGGAATCGTCTTTCCTGCTTTGTGCGAAACAACACCGATAGCATCCCACACCGACGCGTCGATGACGTAGCAACCAGAGCCTTCGTCAAGGCCTTTGAACTCGCCAGTCCAAAGGAGGATGAGATTCTTGATTAAGTTCTCCCAGATGAGGTGCATGAAGTCGTAAGGACAAGATTTGGCGAGATCAAGCGAGGATAATCGGGACAAGAGCGGGACCCCTTTGATGCCATACGACGTCGCGAGGCGTTTAGACTCGGTAGCACTCGCCGCATGCTCAACCTGTTGACCCTGCGACAGCATCTCCGAATGAGTCCGCATTGGGAGGGCGGCAGGGTTGTATACAGGTGTGACAGAGGGATCTGTGCTTTTCAGCACCGACGGATGGGTGGATCGGTCAAGAGGAACATAAAGGGACTTGGCGCTGCTTCCGGGTTGACGCAGACCAGTGATGCGGCACATGCGGCAAGCAGAATACCCGTTGTGGCCCTTTAGGCGCATGACTAGGGACATCGCGGGGATGTCACCGAAGATGAGAATTGCATACGCGTGAAGCACGAAGACCTCCTGCTTCAACGCACAGAACGCCGGAACACCCCGCGCGAGCTCGAGCATCTCCTCGACGAAAGGGAACAAGAAAGAGTCCATGTCCCAGGGCTTTTTAGGCCCCGGAATGACGCCCAGAGTCAAGATGTTCTCGACATGGAAGCGCACCTCGGGCGGGAGACTATAGTCGAATGCAATCAACGGCCAGCAAGTCGACGAGCGCCTGCGAAATGGCGCAAACCCATCCGTGGAAACCCCAATCGGGACGTCACGATCGTCCGAGAAGAAGTAATGCGGAAGCACCTCGCCGTCGACGACTACGTGCCGGGTACGCAGGCTTCGAAAGTGAAGACTGTCAAAGACGTCGCTGATCTTGTTCGAGTCTTGTGCCCGTTGTGCGCGATACTGGTGTTCCGAAGCCGCGGAGCGACTCTGGGCACTCGCTTTCAGACGTGGGATGAGGGGTAAGTAGCAAAACTGCTTGCGCGGACGCCCGTCTAGCGTCCGCCGCCGCTCCCTGCAGCTCCGATTAGGGCACACAGTCTTGTCGGCATATTTTCCGACATATGCGATGCATGAGTTGATACAACAGTCGTAGAGGCGCGGTTTGAACTGAGACAGCTCCGCGATGCGTGCGCGCGCCTCGTCGATGGTAGGAATGGTTTCCTTCGTGTACACGCTAACAGAGTCACGCCAGGCTTCGTCTGTGATGTTGTGCTTCACCTTATGTGCATATTGACGCAGTAAGGCCTTGTCGTCCTCGCCGAGATCACGCTCTAGATACGTACATTAGATGGAGGATAAGGACTTAGAGGCAGTCTTGCATACCATCAAGTTGTATCTCTTTTAGTACCCACTCGTAGATGAGATCATCTAGCGAGAGACCAGCATCCCGTCTACTATGACCTCCGTCAACATCCCCCTCAACTCCATGCTCCTCATCGCTACTATCCGACTCCCCCTCCTCGTAGACCCGTAGCGGCTCGTCGTCGTCGTCATCGTCATCGCTGTCATCGCTGTCAGAGTCTGTATCAGCCGACATAGTGCTCGGCGAGACCGGACGACCGGGACGGGAGCTACTGAATGCTGTTAGTACGACATTGCATATCCTAGTGATCAATGCTAATAACATACTGGTTGTCTGGAAAGCCCTGGCTGGCGACGCCGATAGGTTGCATTGTAGCGCATTGAGGTGGGGGTACAAGAACATCGGCCTTGCTTGAGGAGGCTGCTATCGAACAAAGCGTCCATGAGTGCTCATACCGATAGAATGATATCACGCACCCGAGGTACTGCCGGTATTGAGTGCCGAGATGCTGGAGATCGATACCGGCGCTTCCGCGACTACACACGTACGCAGTCAGCCTTGTACTTCACTTCGCATGTAAGTCTACGTACCTTGTGTCCTCCGTCTCTTAGTCGGAGGTTTACCATACCCAGACGTCCTCTCGAGGGTGAGTTCGTCATCTGCTGCTGCTCCTGTACGATGCTCGCGCTCGTGTTGCCGAGTTGTTTTGGCATGGCAGCGGGCACAGTAAACCCTGTTTGCGGTGGGAGAGAAAAGATGCATCTTGGAGAGGAAAGCTACGACGAGAAGTACGACGAGAAAGCGGAAGTTGAGCAGCACAGTGATGGCGTAAAGCAGGCACTCCTCCGGCCTCCAGCGACTTGACGTTCGTGGCTCAAAGTTGCGAGCACGTGTCACCTAGAGCATGGCCATGGCCGCGCGTCGATTAATTGGAAATTATACTGCGGCCTGGTTTCGCCAGCACCATATGCCTACGCCCTCGTCGAGACCTGCATCGCCTTGTCTAGTGGCGCGTAGGTAGGCTCTCGTCGCGTCAAGACCTTATCTTTAAGTTCGTTAGCACAGCGACTTGCGGGTAGGATCGGGTGACTGACCATATATTAACCTCCCTCGAGACGCACTTCAGCCTGCCCTCCATCCATCATTATCCCTTACCCTTATCCAAACAGCTATCCTATTGCCATGGCTAAGAAGACCGTGACCAAGCAACTCGCCGAAGCAAACGGTCAGTAGTACCACTGTCGATCAACACAATTTACCAGACTAACATGCCTCAGCGGAGAATACCGCCCTGAAGGAGCGTCTAGCTGCCGCAGAGAAAGCTACGGTAGAGGCTGAAGCTGCTGCCGAGGCCGCCAACGCCGCCGCCGCCAACACCGCCACGACTACGCAGGGAACGACGCAGGACTGGATTGTCTTCGACGAACCGCACAGGCGCGCCGGTAACCGAGGCCCGGCCTGTAAGATGGGCGACATAGCCGCCCTTCTCAAACGCTGCACCGAGGTAGAGGATGCGGACGCCGCGTACGAGGCTGCTGTTGTGAGTTGTTGACACCTCTGGGACGAGTCGTGCCACAGCTAACTTGTCAAGCGCGAGGTGCATACGCTGACCGCAGTTGTCGGCATCGACCCGGCGCGGAAATTCAGGGATGTGCACAAGTCGACAGAGATGCACAACTTGTGCAAAATGGTACGTCGTCGCTCTCGGCGAACTTGAACCTCCCGAGTCCCGTTGACACTCGTCTGATTTGACACTCGCAGGTGCGTTCCAAGAAGCGCTGCCCTTGGATGCGCCACTTCGTGCATGACTGGGCTACTCGTAGAATCATGCAGCAATACATGAAGAGTACGCGCGACAACGAGCGAAAGAAGCTCAAGCTTGCGCTCAAGGCCGCGGCGAGTGCGCAAGCCTCGGGCTCCGGGCATGGGAATGGCTCGGACCCGCCCGATGCACACGCGCGTCACGGCCACGCCGCTCGACGTCAGACCACCAGCATCTCCGTCAACATCTCACAACTCAACTTTGGCGCGGAGGAGGATGAGGAGGAGAACGACGATTAAGAAGAAGACTTGTTGGGAAGTGTACGATAGGTCATCGTGGTGCGCGACTGAGTCGTCTTTCTGCCTATCACCCTCACACACCCCCAGGCCCCGAATCTGATTGGAACTTCGAAGGGTAATCTCGTCGTCTTGTACTTCTTACGGCGCATTCCTCGCGCTATATGCGATATGCCATTCTCGAACCCATATGCACCCTCACTCCTCCCCACCTGTACCTTTTCCTACTACCTATCGCGACCCTATGCATCCCGTCTTACCTACCACCATGATTTATTTCTCGTGAACCTCTTCCCATGTATCGTATTGTGGCTTCACTAGTTCTGTATACGGGACAATAAATCCCCGGACCGATTGCCTGTAAACAAATGTGCTCCGTCATTTCATGCGGGACCAATCAGCGCTTGAAAAGCTTCATATATGCGGACTGCGTGGGCTGAGTGGTAGGCTGCCTCTAACGGCTGTTTAGATGCTCTTCTACAGAGCTGAAATATCAGTATTCATAAGAAGCAGATCTGTATACAACCTGGGGAGGCCGATATTCGGCTCCCTCCTGATAGCTGGTTTGACGCCTCTCGGGCAGGCTGGACAGACTGTCTTCCCGGACGGCGTTCTTGACAGCGGTTCAGGCGAGCTGGATATCAGTCGGCACTGGTCCACTGATGATCACAGTACTTTCGCGCCTGATTTTCAGCGGTGCTCGCCAGGGCATTTTCAGACGTCTCAAACGGCCGAGATCGTAAGCACTTCTGCTCGGCGTACACAAAACCTTTCGGTACTAGCTTTCAAAAGCCTTCAGTCAGCCATTGAGGTACCGTACCGGGTCGACTGATTTTGACAATCGGCCGGCTTATAACAGCCGATCCCTCCCATAGGGCCGGCAGCTGATCCAGAGATGCATCAGCTCTTAAAGTCCTTATAATCCCCCGTTTAGTAGCTGATATCAGCCACCCACCGGGCGAATGCCAGCCGTTTCGGACTACTTGAAATCAGCCCTTTCTGGCCTTATAGTGAATACTGACCCAGGCCACCATGATTTGGCTCTTAGTGTGCATACATTATTGCGGGATGTCTTTGATTTTAGTGGATGGTCTAAACATACTAGAAATGGATGCCACCAATGTTAAGATGTAAGAAAAATTGTCTCGTTTAAAAGCAATGGACAAGTTGGGGATTGAACCCAAGACCTCATGCAAATCGAACTTACGTAAGTGCGAAGCAAGCGCGCTACCACTGTGCTACATGCCCATAAAAGTAACGTCAAAAAATAAGCTTGTGAGTCATGCAATGTGAAACACGTTGAAAAATCTTGGAAGTCGTTTTTGCCTATCATCCCGTGTATCTATGATGAACTAAATTCAATAGCTGTAAATGAAGACGCTCACAGACTCGGTACGAGATTCACACCAAAAGCTCGAAGGAGGAGAAGTAAGAAAGGCTCCAGGCAAGTTGTCCGGACTTGGGGCTGTAGGGTTTATCACAAATGGAGCCCACCAGGTCTACTGAGTGCAGTATCCGATCATTCAATATATCATGTAGTCAAATGGCATCTGCGAACTTCAAGTCGCAGAATCCGAAACTCTCTAAAACTGTGCAGGTTCAACGTCTTCCACGAGATATCGACCATGATCATTGAATTCATCGTTCGTCTATCCAAAACAGCTACCGCAGCGAGGAAACGAGCGGTGGACGGCCAGGCATGCCGTAAAAGCATCGAAGAGAAGCTGTAGAACTAAGAGGTGGCAGAGACTGAGCTCATGAGAAAGCAATGATGCACCGCAGACAGTGACTTCGCGAGCACACAACAGTGATCACCCGAAGGCACGACTCTCGGAGCTCTGGTGAAGCTCGAACAAGAGCATGGTATGATGGCTCAGTGAACCTGACGTTGCACAGTACTGAGTATGATCGTCGTTTGCACCGGGCTTGTTGCAGACCAGGGACTATTGTGCACTCAAGTGGCCGGCGAGGAGCGGCTTGTCACAAAGCCAGCGTTGAGTTGTGAGGCCGTAAAAGTGGGGTTGAGCACAAGCTGCGCGAACCGCAGTGTACAGAACCTCTGTTGTCTCGGAGCCGAATGGTGGGCGGAGTCAAGCAGTGCAGTCGCGTCGCGTTGAGCTCGTGCGCGTTGTGACTTGTTCGCAGACCACCACCACCACCACACCACACTAATAACGACATGTCCTCACTCTTCCGCACAGCCTCAGTTACACCGGCAAAGAAAGATGTGGAGGTCGCGGATCTGCCACAGGACTCCATATCTGCGTTGTCATTTTCACCTGTGGCGGACTATCTTGCAGTGGGTAGCTGGGACAACAATGTGCGTGAACATCTTGCTATACGCACTCACAATTCTGAATGTCCTTCACAGGTGCGCGTCTACGAGGTTGGAGCGGATGGGCAGACACAGGGGAAGGCGATGTACAATCACCCGGCACCGGTGCTGGATGTATGCTGGAACAAGGTTAGATATCTACTTATCTTAACTGTCTCGCACATACAACAACGTTCACCCAACCATTTCAATCCAATTTTTGCCGCTCCTCTTGCTCTGCCATGCATTATCGTTGCGCATGTAGGCTGGCACACAAATCGTCTCTGGTGGCGCAGACAATGCTGCCCGCCTGTTCGACGTAGCCACGGGTCAGTCTCAGCAGGTAGCAGCGCACGACGCGCCTGTGAGGTCTGTGAGGCTGTTTGATACGCCGCAAGGGACTATCCTTGCTACAGGTGGCTGGGACAAGATGCTGAAGGTATGCTCTTTAGGTTTAAACACCAATCACGATAGTAACATGTAACAGTACTGGGACTTGAGAGCGCCGCAACCCATTGCAACTGTGCAACTTCAGGAAAGGTGCTATACCATGGACGCGGTCTACCCCCTTCTTGTCGTAGGCACAGCCAACCGGGGGCTGGAAGTCTTCAATTTGACGAATCCGAACAAGGCTTTCAAGGTGGGTGAAGCACTCTCGAATACTTTCTTCCGTACTTAATCTATTGGCACAGACGTACACGTCGCCTCTCAAATGGCAGACTCGAACCGTCACATGCTTTCACTCGGCGGACGGTTTCGCAATCGGCAGTGTCGAGGGACGTGTGGCGATGGAGTACGTGGAGGATAAGGCCAAGGAGTAAGCGTCGAATATACACCCGTTTGGACGCTCTCACCGATATGCGCTGTTAACATAGTAAGGCGTACACCTTCCGTTGCCATCGCAAGGAGATTACGAAATCGGAGTTTATGGTGAATGCGGTCAACTCCATCGCCTTCCATCCCAAACAGCAGAGCGCGTTTGTAACGTGCGGTATGTTTCAACGATCCAGTATCTGACCGGGCGCAGTACTGACGGCTCATACCAGGCTCTGATGGTAGCATCGGTAAGCCCGGTTGACTACATAAATACCTTTCCCTCACGCTGACCCTTATAGTTTTCTGGGATCGTGACGCGCGCACGCGTCTGACAGGTGCGCACATTGCATGCTTAACCTGTATCTCTGTCCGCTCACGTCTCGGCCTCAGCTTTCGATGCTCAGCCGGGCTCTATTTCAGCGTCTACATACAACCACTCGGGGTCCATCTTTGCTTACGCTGTCTCATACGACTGGCACAAGGGCCACTCCGGAATGACGCCAACAACGCCGAACAAACTGATGCTTCACTCAGTCAATGAGGAGGAGATCGTTAAGAAGGGTGTCCGACGTTAGTTATGGCGGGCACGGCCATCATCAACCGTTGACACGATCTACCGGGACCAGTATGTCTGGAGGGCCGTAGTATGGCTTTCATAGCCGCTGGTGCACTCGAACCATTGCCGCCATGTAAACTAGTTCTGGGTCGCTGCTTCAGGCCCTGTCTTCGCTTCTTTACTACATGTCTACCTGTACCTACACTAAGCAATCTATGGAGTCCGAACGCTTGATTCTCAACGTGACGCTGTCGACGCTGCCGACAGCTTTTTGAACAGAAAGCAAGCGTTTGTGCAGTGGGCGGTTTGTGACCCGACGCGATACGTCACGCGTCGCAAACTCAACCTTAACTTGCTTCCTGCCGTCACCACGTACGCGATTCACTCTCTAGTCTTTCAGAACTTTCCCTTAATACTCGGACTATTATAAGGCTGTAAACCCACGAGCTTGCAACGCAAAGCCCTAGCGAAGTCTTGATGTTAGACTGGACCACAGACTCGAACGAGGCCTTACACTTGTCTCTCGGTGCGTCACATGCTACCAATACATTGGGCGGCTATCACTGAGCGCCAAGTCAGTGCGGAGCAAGAAGGACAAGGAGGTTCTGGGAGAAGACGAGTCGTACGAAGACTTCCATCCTACATTCACGTACCCGGTGCGTGTCTTGAACCGTACACTGGGACGGCTGGCTGACCGACGTCCAGATCTACGGGGAGGACGAGAAGATATATGGATACCGTGACTTAGTTATTGATGTGCGTAGAGGACTACGAAATAATGTTCCAGTGCTGATAGAAGGGTGCAGCTTCGCTTCGCTTCGGGCTCTCTAACGCAATATCTTGACGTGCGCCACTCTAAGAAACTGGAAGCATCTGCGTCTACCACAGTGGACGATGTCAAGGGGACACTTGAGAAGTACATTACCACCGACTACTACAAGTCGGAGGCCGATTTTCTAGCTCGCGTCGAGGAAGATGCGGAAAGCTTCAAGCCGTTCGGCGAGAAGATATACTCCTACACGCGTCCTAGCCCGGCCTCGCGCTCGAAAGGCAAGAGTACAGCACCGGTCCTCCCAGAAGAAGACGAAGACGCCGTTGTGTACGAGGTTTACCATGTATGTCTCTATCGAAGCGCTCGGTGCATGGTTGTGCTGACGTTCGCAGACCAAGTGGGATACGCCCGGCTTCAAGGAACATCACAGACGAATGCAGACATTCATCTTGCTATACGTTGAGGGCGGGTCATACATAGACGAAGATGAGGACTTGTGGGAGTTTGTCGTACTGTTCGTTATTTCTGTATGCCTGAAGCAATTGTCTGACGGTCTGCCAGGTATGAGAAGCGCAAACGGCGGGACGCTGCTCACACGGAAACCTACCACTTCATTGGCTACTCAACCCTATATCCATTCTTTTGCTTTCCGGACAAGCTCCGGCTTCGCTTGAGGTCCGTTAAACTGCGCCGAGCTGTGTGGCACCCATGCTGATTGCTCTACGGATAGCCAGTTTGTCATCGTATCGCCTTTCCAGCACCAAGGCCACGGACGTGAGTGGTTTGTTATCGGTTTCGGATCACGTCTGATGGGCGCGCAGAGGAACTGTACACTGCAATATATCAATACGTCCTGTCCCAGCCACACTTAGGCGAGCTGACCGTCGAAGACCCCGCGGAGGCTTTCGAGGATCTGCGCGACCGCGTAGATATGCGCATGTTGCTCAAACAAACTCAATTCATGCAAGAGGCCTTCGGTGACTCTAGTCTCACGTCAGCCGGAGGAGGCAAAGTTGGTGGCGTCAGGCCAGGAGGCCGTGCAGCGAAGCGTGCAGCAAAACACAAGGGCAAGATGGGCCCGCCATCGGATAAAGCGTGGCTCGAGAAGTGGCGCGTGCAATTCAAACTGGCTGCCGTGCGTTTTCTTGTGGAATATTCCTGCTGCAACCTATTTGACATTGCTATACAGCGCCAATATCATCGCCTCGTCGAGATGCTGATTCTTCTGCATCTGGACCCTGCAGATGCGCTCGCGGCGAAAGCATACAGGCTTCAAGTCAAGGAGCGGCTATATCGATTCAACTATGTCAGTACCTACAAACTCTTATCCGGTTCGACAATGTCTGAACCTGTGCGCAGGATGCACTGGCCCAGCTTGAAGATAAGGAGCGTCTCGAGAAACTAGAGGAGACTTTCCAGAGTGTAAAGGAGGACTATCAGCGCATCCTTGCGACCATTTAGGACGTATGAAGCTCAGCATGCAGGCAGTACATTACGACATCTATCCCCTTCACGTATTCTGCCACCACTCTAAGGTGCTGTATTGCGCGCGCCGTGGCGCACATCGTATTCGGCTGAGCTCTGGTTGGCGCGGTCAAGTTCAACTACCAGTCACGAGGCCACCTCGAGGCGCCATGCGCGTCCTTTATCTCGGTACGCTCGCCTGCGCTGAGGTTTCGTCGTCTCCTTTTCCCTCCCATCTTCTCCCTGCCATCTTGAACTCCCTGTAAACATGTCTGGTTATCGTGGTGGTCCTCCGCGCGGCGGATCCCATCGTGGTGGCGGCCCTC